GGTGTTCTGATGTGTGAAGATGTCTATTGTGTTCTCCTTGGGTTCTGTGTTTTATGTCGGGTGTATGTCTGCTCTGGTGTGTGCACGCATGTGTGCATGGTGTGTGGTGTGTGTGCGTGTGTGTCCTTGTGTTACTGTGTGTATGACACCGATTGGTTCTATGTGTGTGTCCAGTATGTGTGTGTGTCCAGTTTTGTGTGTGTGTGTGTGTGTGTGTGTGTGTGTGTGTGTGTGTGTGTGTGTGTTTGTTCCCCCTCCAGGTGTTCCCTGTGTCTGCAGTGTGTGTCTGTGTGAGCCTGGCCATGAGCCCTGCAGCTGAGTCCCCAGCTGTGGCAGGGGGTTCCTCTACCTGCATGTTTCTGTGCTTTTTGTGTCGGTATGTTTCCCTGTGAGTCTGTGCACCCCAATCACAGGCAACTGCGTAGGCAGTCTCTGGAGGGGTCAGGAAGGGACCCCTACTGTCCCTGCTCACCCAGTCTCTGCTGTCCCCCAAGGGGTCCCCTCTCTGGCCTCAGGGATGGATGAAGGGAAAGGTCAGTTCATAGAACCCCAGGCTGTGGGAAGGGGAGGAATTAGTGAAGATTCTGATGGCAGACTGGAGTTAGAGAGTGTGCATGGGGAATGTTTGTGAAGGACACTAGGCTTCGTGGAGGAGCTGGGGATCCCGGTGCCTTGGGAAGGAATGAGTGGGTGGGTGCATGTGGGGGGAGCTGAAGGGTAACATTTCCAGGCTCTTAACCCCCCACTAGGAATGAGGAGGAGGGCGTCCCTGGAGAGGGGTGTCCCTTGCCCATGTGAAAGCTATGCTGACCCCTAAGGGAGGAAGGTCTCCGGCTCCATGGGGCATCATTCCGGGATTTCTGGGCTCAGGTCATCTCCTGGGAGTGCGTTGCTAAACAGGACCCTGGGACCAGGAGAGAGAATTGGGCCCTGAGATTTCTTCACTGTGGATGGGTGAACTGTGGAGGGAGTGCATTTAGCACAGTTTCCTGCACAGAAACTGCAGGGTCACCATTGATGTTACCGGCAGCATTTTCACCATCAGCCCCACCTGCTGGGGCCCTCACCTGGGCAACGCAAAAGATCCAGGGCCTTGGAGGCAGGGAGGGCCTGATGTTCATGTAAAAGCACGTGGATGCTTGAGGCTTCCAGCCTGTGCCCTTCCCAGCCAACACTCTTAACTTGTGAGTCTTCACCTCCACCCGAGTGTGGGACCCGAGGCAGCCAGGGGTTTACCCAGGTCACACTCAGAAGTGGGTTCTGAGTTTGCTGCCAATGCCATCTGCCCAAACTCCTTTTCTGAGGTTCACTGCTTTGGAACTTGCCAGTGATGGTTTAGGGCAGCGGTTCTCAATCTGTGGGTCGCGACCCCTGTTGCAGTTGAACGACCCTTTCACAGGGGTCACCTAAGACCATCCTGCACATCAGATATTTACATGATGATTCATAACAGTAGCAACATTACAGTTATGACGTAGTAATGAAAATAATGTTGTGGTTGGGTAACAACA